GTGGGGGGGGGGGGGTGTGTGTGTGTGTGTGTGTGTGTGTGTGTGTGTGTGTGTGTAGGAGGGGTGGGACAGCACTTCACTTAGCGCAGCTCCAAGAACCATGCAAAATAAAAGCACCAGGAGCATCACATGCAGCAGTGTCAATGCATTGAAAAATGGCAGCAGGGTGCTTCGAACTAGAACGTACTAGAGGAACTTTAGTTTAAAGCACCCACTGCTATTTTTCAGTGCAGGAGCACTGATACATTTGACGCAGGAGGCTGCTGGGCCACATTAATTTGCACACTCCAGCAGACTTGATCAGTCGAGTCTGCTTTGATGTGCTGGAATTCCAGGGAGTTGGAGCAGGCTCCCTGCACATGCCTAGGAACCCTTAAGTACATGCTTAATTTCAAGCATGTGAGCAGTCTCACTGAAGTCAATGGAACTACTCTAATATATAAAATTAAGCATGTGATTAGATTCTGTGTAGGCCTAATTCAGAAAGTTTAAGGCCTTATAGGATCAGGCTACATAAGAACATTTATTAAAATTGGAAACAGGCCTAAACCACTAAGCCCAGAGCAGATTGAAATGTGCCCAAAATTTAGGGCCTGTGAGGTTGGATCCAGGGTTTTGGCTTGATCCGTTATAGAGATAAAAGCCAGGCACAAAACTTAGATCCTTATCCAAGTGTCCCCAAAATCTGTTTATATTCAAATATAAACGTTGGTTTGAGTCCATCTTTAATTAACACGAATAAGAACTGGATCAAACAGCATAGCATGTACTCTAGCCTCTGAGAAGTTGAGGCAATTAACACTTTATACCAACTGTTTAGATTAATTTTATCTATGCCATGCTGTTCAGTGATCTAGATAGCTCTGCCTATTCTTGTCATATTATGCTACCTCTAGCAATCTGTCTATTCCCTTGACAGCTCTAGAATGGTCCTTTTCACAGCAAAATCATCTCTTTTTTTCTCATTTCCCTACAGATAACTTGAAATAATCTGTTATTGTTTGGGCTAGACACTTAACACCATTTACTCAGGTGAGCAGTATCTTATGTATGGACTTGCAACAAGGCTGAATTACTCGTGTGAGTAATTGACTGTCAGTTGAGCATTTAAATATCTTTATCATTATTTGTCTGTTGTATAGGCATACGTAGGCACCACCACTTTTAAAGGAAATTTTTGCATGCTTTTATTAAATGAAAAATGCATAATTCAGTTTTGGTCACCATACTAGCTAGGCTATGACTCTCAAAAAATGAGAGAGAATGATGTAGGTTTTATGAAGTATTCCTACAGCGGTACATGCAGCAATGTTAGCTGGTACGTATCTTGAAATAAGAGTGTTATTTTCAAATGCTTAGATATGTACTGAATTAAAAAATATAAGATGAGGCTCTATTTTGGCATTAGGATTAAGTCAAGAGTACATTTCAAGTTCTGTATTGCCTGTAACGTTTCAGTTATGTTTCCTATAACACAGTTCTAAAAAGGAGACAGGGGGAGGCGGTAATATTTCTTTTTCTAATTTGGTAAATGCATTTTTCCACATTCTTCTCAAGCTGTTCACTAGAAATTGGTAGAGTACAAACATAAATCTCAACAATCAGTCTCCATTTATACTCATCTATGGCACATCTGTTTGATCCTTTTTTCTGCTGTCCTTTGAAAGTGCATGTGATTTTTGCACATATCGTGCCCTTTTTTCCAAACGTACATGTGTGTTCAGGCTTCAGAATCTGACAACTGAATACACAAGTTAGGGCCTGCCCAGGTAAGGCCAAAGTTGTATGATCCCTAGTGGAGGGACAGATGAGTCTCAATTGACAAACTGGTCCTAAATGTAGAAATTTTTGTTCCTGCGCTCTGAAAAGTGATGACAATGAGGAAACAGGAAGTTATAATGGAAATTGATCTGCCAATCAAACTAACATGGACATTATGAAGCGTGTTGAATGCTACCTAAGCAAAAAATTCTTAAATCAATTTACCTTATTTTTGAGAAATGTATATGTTACACTGCTTATGGAGAACATAAAACTCTTTTATTGCTGATAAGAATCTTGGAAAATGCAGGACTAGTTTTCTATTAGTGCCCACTTAACTCCCTCCTTCAAAGAAAAGCAATAAAAGTGAATTGAGGGCTGGTGGGACTGATTTCTAAGGAGAGAACAAGAGAATTATGTATATACAGCTTAACCAAATGATGACTAAGGGAATGACAACGACACTAGAAAATACACCTTAGAAAACAATCTTGTAATGGCAGAGAGATGGATGGATGAGAGATATTATTATTTTTTATTTTTATTACAGTTGAGCCTAAAAGCCCAAATTGAGATCAGGCCCTGTTATGCTAATTACTTCACAAGCATATACTAAAACACAATATTCAATTATCCAGTTATAAATAGTAGACGGGAAGAAATTTGCCCAAGGTTACACTGAGCCACAAACAGAATTCAAGTTTCTTAATTAGCAGTCCATGGTCCTGTTCACTGGGCAATATTGCATAACTGAACGGCTGTATCACTGATTTCAGTGATACTACCACTCCTCCTAGTTCACATGGTGAACATAGCAAGCACACTATTTTAGACACTTGCTCTATCATGCCACAGTTTGCAATGAGCCTGTTTACTGGTATGTCAAGAACCTCCTTATGTTTTTTATGCAGAGTGGTGCTCCTGGCCCCAAAGGTGATTGGGATGGCATTGGGTCATGATCCTGCCTGTTCTACAGAATAGGTGAAGGGGAGTACCTCTGAAGAATATTAACTCAGACTGCTCTGATCAGCAACTGCTCTGATGAACTGTCAGTAGGAGTCCTTTATCCAGTTTTGAGCATAGCATTTTGAATGACATGAACAAAATGAAAGGAGTGCAGAGGAGAATGAGGCATACAAGACAAAACTGGAAGAACTGGAGTTATTTGGTTTGGAGAAGTGAAGGCTAAAGAGAAAATTTCCTAAAAGTCTTCAAATAAAGAAAGGGTTGTTATAAAGAGAATGGAAATCACTTTTCTCTGTGTCTACGGGAGGAAGAACAAGAAGGGACAGTCTTAAATTGCAACAAAGGAAGTTGGATATTAGGTTTGATAATAGAGAATTTTCTAAATATGAGGGTGGTGCCAATATATGTGGGTGCATCAAATATTAGAAAATCATTTTGGACTTGAAGCTTTGTGTGTGGTAAATACTCCACATATATTCATTTTGTGTTGAAATCTGTTTTTCTTCCCCATTCTGTGCCATAAATAAATATATAATATCACATAACAGACCTGATACAGGCTATTTATGACTGAAGTAGAATGAAGACCTAGGTATCCACTAAGATAACAGAATCTGAGTGGGAATCAGCAATTTACAACATTCAGACATCAACAATTTATCTTAGACTTGGTCTTAATCAACAAAAAATCATTTTTCATCTGCCCTGGGCAGACTTTAAACTTAAAACATTAAATAAACTGCCAGTAGATACTTACTGCAGATTCGACGCGTTTCAGGCAACACTTAATCACATGTTTCCATCATGCCCTGAAAGAAATTATCACTAGAGTTAACATGGTTCTGAACACAATGGTAATACCGTTGGCAGATATGTTTGCTCTTGGGCAAATACCTAAGGCCCTGTGGCAGAAAGCCACCTTGGTTTCTCCCCAAAAATCTCTGCCCTGTGACACTGTGATTTAAATCTCTGTGCTGTGACCATTCAATTAGGATGGGCCCAGCACACAGGGGACCACACCCTCAGCCTGTCTCTTTAGGGAACTGGAGCTGGCTGCATTCCTGAGGGAGGG